TAAAATAGAACAGTATAATAATAATTACTACTTCAAATAACCTTGTAGCAGCCCTGCTTGTAGGTTTTATATTCTTCTCATCAATGAGAAATATACATATCTTTGGGGTTCCTTTTCTAGTTGTATATATACACACAGGTTGGGCTTGTATATACCAATATTGTGCAGAAAAATTTGAGGATTTTGGTTAAAAAAAAATCTTAGCTGGCAGTAGTGGTATTTGTTTATTTGTTTGTATACTGCAGTTTAAGAAGTCAACAGGCTGAAGCAGGAGGATTACAATAAATAACAGGCATAGTGAGGTCAAGGCCAACCTTAGATACGTGGTGAGTCCACCTCAGGAAGCCTGTATGTGTATGTGTGTGCACACACATCTGTGCATGTGTGTGCGTGTGCGTGTGTGTGTGTAACTCAGAAGTACAGGTAAAGTTCAGAGGCAAAGTCATGCTTAGCATGTACCAGGCCTGAGGTTTGATCTCCACCTTGAAAAAAGTGGGGAAAGGACAAAAAGAATGAATGAATTCGGGGACCAGTCCAAGGGAAGCTTCCCGAGAGTGGAGAAGTTAAGACTCTGACCTCTGCCAGGCCGTGGTGGCATACGTCTTTAATCCCAGCACTCAGGAGGCAGAGATAGGCAGATCTCTGTGAGCTGGAGACCACCCTGGTCTACAGAGTGAGTTCTAAGACTGGCTCCAAAGCTACACAGAAACCTTGTCTCAAAAAACTGAGAAGCAGTGCAGTCCTCTCTCTCCACACACCTCCAGCAGGAATGCCAAAGAAAAAAAGGCGAATGGCTGTGAGAACAAAGCGCAGCCCTTAGCTTTATGTTCTGAGGAGCACGTAGGCCCAGACAAAAACATTTTATTTCTTACGCTTAGGAAAGGTAAAATCTTTTGAAGGTCCCCCAAGGCAGGCTCTTTTCTCCCCACAGCTGTCTTATATTCGCCACCAGACAGTCTTTCTCGTGCTCCCAGGTATCATAGAAAACTCTGGAGAGTACGCGCTAGCTGGTGAGTCAGCCATCAGCAGAAAGCCCCGGTTCTGTATGAGGTCAAAGAATCTTTTGTGTTTTGTTTTGTTTTTTGAGACAAGGTTTCTGTGTAGCTTTGGAGCCAGTCTTAGAACTCACTCTGTAGACCAGGGTGGTCTCCAGCTCACAGAGATCTGCCTATCTCTGCCTCCTGAGTGCTGGGATTAAAGACGCGTGCCACCACGGAATGGCAGAGGTCAGAGTCTTAACTTCTCCACTCCATCACAGGCTGGGGATTATAAGCACTATTTACTTACTTTAAGTAAGTTTTAGCTTAGTTTAATATGCCACAGTTTAAAAATGTTCAGCTATAAGGGCATAGCTTAAGTTGACAAGTTTAGTAAGGCGGGAAAATAAGTGATGGCTTTCCTGAGCTTAGGGAACGAAGCCTCCTCGTCACACGGACCCTTGCTCATGTGGTCAAATGTTGGTGAGCCTGTCTAGAGCAGCACAAAGCTCTAGATTTCCCTAGACGACTGAAGTAGGTGAACCGCACACTTGGGCTATGCGAGGGCCATGTGGTACATAACACTATGGAGGCTTAAAGGAGAAGAGAGAAAAGCAAAGTTGGGACACTGAGAGGATTTCCCCATCTTTCTCCCTTTGTCTTTTTGGCATGATACCTGCTGTAGTTCCTCAGGAGTTAAAGTTAGGAACAGACTGCCGAAAGTACAATTCTTCAAAACGTATTACATTTACTTACTCGTGTGTGTGTGTGTGTGTGTGTGTGTGTGTGTTACACACTCTCAAATACATCACAGTGCATCTCTGAGGGGTCAAAGGACAAAATGCAGGTTTTGCCCACTCCTGAGTGCTGATGGTCTTGAGGCTAGAGCACACGGAAAACATTCACCAATAATGACAAAATGGGAAACAGGTACTGTTTATCAAGAGCCACAATCGCCACAGAGAAGACACGTAACATCTGCCTTTCTATTCATTGTAACACCCAACCTTACGTGATAGACATTAAAATAGCATGCTTACAGATGAGGAAATCCACGTTTGAAGAATTTTACTGGCCCGGCTAGGTCACAGTTAGCAGGAAACAGTGACTCACATTCAAATCTTTCTTGTCTACATTGTGTCTAGCACACCACACCTTCACCCCAATCTATAACAAAATAGGGTTGATGTTTAAGCTTTTTTTTTTAATAAGTTACCAAGTTGGAATGTTTTCTTATAAGACTCCAATATCTCAAATAATTGACAAATGGGATTTCCCAGAATTGAAAGAGCTTCTTCACAGCAAGAAAACTATAGGCAGAATGAACAGGCAGTCTGAAGAATGTGAGAAACCTTTGCAAGCTATATATCTGGCAGGGCTAATGTCTAGAAAATATAAAGAACTGCGGAAGTCAAATACCAAAAAAATGTGCCACTCGATAAGTGGGCTATGGAATTAAGCATACAGTTCTTATAAGAAGAAATACAAATTGCCAACACATAGTTCCTAAAAGTAATCTTAATCCTTATTGATCAGGGAGGTGAAAATTAAAACTACTCTGAGATTCCCTCTTACCAAACCAGAATGGTTATCAGTGGGAAAACAAGGGACAGCAAACACTGTGAGTGTGTGGGAAAGCGCCAGGCTTACTGACTGTTGGTAGAAGTGCAAACTGGTGCGCCACTGTGGAAAGCAGAGTTGAGGGGTCTCAAAAGGCTAAAATCAGAATTACCACAAGACATAGCTTCGGGGCATGCACTAAAGGGTGCCATGTCCAGCCACAGAGACGCTTGTGCATCCTCGTTCATTATTGCTCTATCCACAATAGCCAGGAAATGGAACCAGTTGAGGCCCATCAGTATGAATGGATACTAAAAACTGATTCATACAGACAACAGGATTTTATTCAGTGGTAAAGAAAAGTAAAATTAAAAAATTCGCAGGAGGAGCTAGTAAGATGGCTCCACGGTTAAGAGCACAGACTGCTCTTGCACAGGGCCCAAGTATATTTCCCAGCACCCATGTCAGGTGGATCACAACCACCTAGGGAATCCAACACCCCCTTCTGGGCTCTGTGGGCTCCTACAGCTACATGAACATACCTTCATACAGATGGATGCACATGAATACAGTAGAAATAAAAGACCCCACTCAAAAATGCACAGCTAATGGATAAAAACAGATAATATTACATTAAGTTAGGTGACCCAGACTCAGAAAGACAAATACTGCATGTTCCTTCAGACGCACAACCTAGCTTCATTTCTTATTTACACAGAGGTAATTTTGTGCGTCCGGGTGTGGACAGAGGGCTCAGAAAATTAAAAGAGCTGCATGGGAGAGCAGACAGACTAACGGTGGGAGAAGGACACGAGAACATACGTGATACGAAGGGGAAGGTGGAATTCTGAGAGCAGAAAGGGACAGTTGAGGAGAGAAGGGAGATGGCAGCGGGAGCCAACCCAAATTAAATACTCATAAAACACCAGGAGAAAAACTTTTACTTCTCATGCTAGTTTAATTTTTTTTTTGAATGATTCCAAGTTGGAATGTTTAAATGTTATCATGGGCTTTGAAAATTCCAATGTTAAGGACACAGGGAGGCAAATGGAATAAAGACTGAAAATCCTTGAATTTTTGGTATATAAAAAGGCACAAAAGCTTCGTTTTCCTCAATGAGTGATGCTATTCTAAAACACATTGAAGCTAAACTTTCTCATGTGGAAGGCGCATATATTATAAACTCCATCTCCTTGAATTAAATGAGAAAATACATATACATATAGCAAGGACTGAATAACAAATAGAGATTGTAGCCAATGCAACTAACCAATGTTTAGAATTAATAAATTAATTAATTTGTTAATTAACAATAAGCATAGACATTACCAAGAATCATCTTCAAAATTGTGTTACTCAAAAAAATAAATAAATAAAATTAAATTAAAAAAATTGTGTTACTCAATTTGGTTGCTATTTTAGAAATATTTAAATAGTTATTAAATATATCTCCTTGAAGTATTTTTCTTTTGGCCAGCAATCCTATGAATAAAGTTACAACTGAAATTCCCTTTGGAAGTATAAAAACAAAAAGGTTTTTAGGAAGACGAAAAGTAAGAAAGTTCAAAGTTTGAACTCTCGGGTATGGTAGAGAATGTACACACAAGGCTGGGATGTAGCTCGGCGGTAGATCATTTACCCTGCTTACATAGGGCTTGGGTTCCTTCCACAGCAAGACTGATAGACAGACAGAGCACACAAAGAGAAAGGGCCTGAGGTAGAGAAAGGGGACTCTGAGCATCAATGGTTAAAGACTAAATTAATAATCATCACCTAGACAGCCCCAAAGGTTTCATTCCCTAGAGCTGTGTAAAGCTTTTCTAGAAATAATATTTTACAAGAACTTCTGTCCTAAGATTTTGTTCAGTTTAGGAAAGACAAAGTTTTGCTTTGTTATGTTGCATGAGGCTAACTGCTTTAGTCTCAACTGAATCTTTGGAGCCTGACAAGGAGTATTACATCCCTAAAGACAGGTCTAACTTAGAAAAGTTTGTCACCGCGGTGAGCAAGTCATGCCTGCTCTCAACTGAAGGCACTGTGACATGGTTTGAAACGGATTTGACAGGCCACCCAGTCGGCACAGTGGCCACACTGTTCATGTCATCTTGAGTCAGGTTTTCCTAAAACCCAGCTGTGTGTGAGTTCAGTGCCTAAGCCACTCTCCCCATCCCTTTAAGGGATCAGCTGCCACTCAGCCGACAGCAAAGTGAGAGAGCCAGGAGCATGGTCTGCACTCCAAGTTTCCTCTCCACTAAGCACCGCTGAAGTCAGTCTTCAAGCGGGAGGCTCCAAACCCCTTCCCAAGTCTCCCAGAACATCACGGCAAAGCCAGGCATTTTCATTCTCTCTCTCTCTCCCCTCCCTACCCTACAACCACACACAGACACAGACACACAGACACACACACACACACACACACACACACACACAGAGTGCCAGTACCATCACAGAGCTGACACCTACCTTCCCAAAGCGTGAAGCTGTGAAAATGTTCCTCGCCTATGAGAAGCAACCAGAGAGGCTTCCCGTCCCAGCCAGCTCTGTTCCCATTAGAGAGCAGCACACCTCATCTGTACGTAAGCCCTGAAATTCTTGCAGAGACCCACCCTCGAAAGTTGCAAGTCAAGATTTCTGACTGAGGGCAGTTAGTCACGTGAGGCAAAGTGACTGGATGGCACAGTCAGGTTCTTCCAGATGGGATGTCGCTTCCTGTTTCACCAACGGGAGAAGCAAAACCCAGAGCCTGATCAGACACTGACTTACAAGTGCATCCATTGCCTCATCGCCTCTGCCTCTGGTGTACAGAGACATTAGTCAGCCGCGGAAAAGGTGGTTTCATTGTTTGCACTGAAGGAAAGGAGCTTAGGCTGCTGGCCACGGAGGAACCTGAAACACTGCCGACAGGTTGCACTCTGCTAGGAGCTGGTTCGACAACTATAGAACACTCCAGTAGCTGCAAATCCTAGCAGAGCTTTCAGACAACTAAACCATCACCACTAACACTACTACCGACTGTCAAACTCTTCCACGGAGGAGTGCCGGACACAGAATATGGTTTCTCTCTCATATTCCAGTGATGGGAGCAAAAGAAAAATATTTAAAGAAAAAATACAGCAACCAAAATAAATAAATAGAAAGAGGAAAGAAAGGAAAGAAGCAGGGAAGGATGAAGGGAGGGGAGGAAAGAGGGGAGGAAGAAAGGAAAGAAGGAAGGGAGGAAGGAGGGAAGAAAGGAAAGAAGGAAGGAAGGAAGGAAGGAAGGAAGGAAGGAAGGAAGGAAGGAAGGAAGGAAGGAAAGAAGAAAGAAAATAGTCTAGCAATGCTTTCTTTTTAAGCAGTCAGATGTAATTCGCCTTGTTTTTGTTTCGGTCTCATAGAGCAATCACCATAGAGAAACAGGAGTCTATTAACAGGGATCAGGACAGTTCTACTATGCCAGAAGTGCACACATGGTAGGGTTTATTTGAGGTGGCTACTGTGGGGGCAAGCTCCACTTTCTCTGGTGGAAGAGGAGCTAGCTCTGGGCTTGCATTGTTATTTAAAGGTGCTCTGACAGGAAGAAAGCTCAACAAGTTGATTCACGTAGCCTGTAAAGCAGCACGGACATCCTAGGTGCTTCTGCAGCACCGCCCCCTCTGCCCGGGATCCCGAGAGCACCTCACCAGCTGCCAACTGGTGAAAGCCTTTCCCTTTTTTCTGTCAGCTGCTTAATGATGAGAAAACTTAAAAAGACCAGAAGTGGAGAAAAAGAGATGCCAGTTTCAAATAAACAGAAACTACAAAGCTTCTTAAATTTTACTACCGGATTTAGCTCACAGAAAGAGAACTGATAGAGCCCTTTCATTCAACACCAGCAATTCTTCCTAGACTTTCTCTGTGCAGACGTTTGCTATTAAAAAGTTAATGAACTTAGCGCATTATTAGGGGTGGATGTGGTTTATGCCTGTAATCCCAGCATATTAAGGGCAGGGGGATCAACAATGTTCAAGGCCAGCCTGAGCTACACAGTGAGTTTCAGGTCAGGCTGGGCTACAGAGTGAGACCGTGTCTCACAAGACCAAAGCAAACAAACATCTTTAGATAGGAGGGCTGAACACCAGGAGGTCACTAGGAGGGTAGATGGTCAATTCAAGTCTTCCTCAACTGTCCTCAGGAGCTGCTGTGGTCTTGCCTGGCTCTCTGGCATGCATGCCTTTCCAGATCTAGTCCAACTTCCCATTGCTCCCTTGCTCATGTTCCTAATTAAAGTATTTTTTCTCATCCCTCACTCTTGCTAATAGCTGTGACCTTCCGTCTAGAGGATCAAGAGCAGCCTGCTCCAGGATACCCCTCTGCCCTTTGTTCTCAGGGAGCAGAAGCAAAATGAATGCTTGGGGCTGCTCTCTGTGCCTCTCTCAAGCTCTCCTAGCCAGCAGTCCTGCTGTGCTTAGACCTGTATTTCCAGACCAGCTGCCCTGCCTAACTTCTTCCCATTAGATCAGGGAGCCTCAAGCGGCAGGCCTTCCAGCTCTTCTATTTCCGAGGCTGAGAACAGTGCCCAGCTGGTCAAATACCCAGGAGTAGCCACGCCACACTCATCTTCACACCAGGGATATCTGGGGGACGACAATTTTCCTAAATATTTTTCTGGATCCTCCCCCCAGTTAAACAAACCAAAAGAGAATCACAGTTTTTGTCTCTTCTATAATAAAATTCACATTATCTCCTAATGAAATATAATGCTCACATCAAGCAGAAATTATTTCACATGCTCCAGTACATCCTATATAATGAAAATAATCTTACTAGTGCTATTGACTTTGGGAGTGGTGCTTGGGATTGAACCCAGGGACTTGCATATGCTAAATATGTTGTCTACCAGAGTCCCAGGCCCAGCACCAACTCCTGCCTCTTTTGAGTCACCATCAAGGAGCAGTCCTGTCTTCCGCAGGAACACATTGCACACTTCACACTAGAGAGAGGAGACAAGAGGACCAAGAGGATTTGACCTCTCTGGGGCTGAAGATCTAAGTGTCAGGGTCCTTGCTGTGCAACTCCTCCTGAAAGATGCCCTCACGGCTCAGGGGGAGTGTGGTATGGTGTGGGATTCCCCTCTGTATTCTGTGAATATGGCTAATTGTCATTGGTTAATAACAAAGCTATTTCGATCAATGGCTTAGCAGAGTAAAGCCAGGCAGGAAATCAGAACAGAGATAGAGAAAGAGAGAGAGTAGGCGGAGTCAAAGAGATGCCATGTAGCTGCCGAAGGAGACAGATGCCGGACCCTTACCAGTAGGCCACAGCCTCGTGGCAATACGCAGATTAATAGAAATGTGTTCATTTAAGATGCAAGAGTTAGTTAATAAGAAGCCCGAGCTAACAAACCAAGCGATGTTGTAATTGATATAGTTTCTGTGTGATTATTGGGGTCTCGGCAGCCAGAAAATGAACGAACAGACTCTGCTTTACAGGGGTGCAAAAAGGAATGGGAGCCTCTAAAAGTATCTCATGGGAATTCCTTTCTTTATTTAATTTCCCACTTGTGCCCTACTATAGTGTATTCAGTGGTTAGTTGACTGTTAATAGAAGAGAGAACCTCCAAACAAAGACAGACAGAACAAGGTGCCCATGGGGGAACTGTGACTTAAGTGATGCTCAACTCTCTCATTTTATGAGTGAACTTTAAGAGTGGAGCCATTAAATCCAGGTTCTATTTTGAATTTTCAGTAACAGATATTAAGTCATTAAGTCAAGGAGAATATTAATGATTTTAGAGCACACTTTAGAGGCAGCTATCATACCTCTGACAAATGAAATGTAAACAATGAAGCAGGGTTCTAGTGGGTCAATTTTACAGGAGCAAAAGAGACATTACAAAACTGCCTAGTTCTTATACAGAGAACAAGCCAATGGTCAAATGGCAACTTAGTTACTCCTGTGATAAGTACCTATCTAGTCCATTTACATAGTGAAGTAGGGAACGAAATAGGCCAACCAGAGGCAAACCCAGTTAAGTTTCTGGCAGGCCACTTGTGAACTCTGAAGAGCAGGATACAGATGGACTCTGGGATCCAGCAGGAAGAGGACAAGAAAATGCACCAAAGGCTCTGTGCAGGAGCAAAGAGCAACAGCTTCAGGAGTGAGCGCAGGAGAAAGCAGAGGAGAATATGCCAGGTAGAAGGCATCCTTGTTTCCCTGCCAAGACGCTCCACGGAGGCAGCTTTCACCATGCTCTTAATCTAACTGGGCACATGCTCTCAGCTGTCACCATCAACAAACTTGATCTTCATACAATGTTTAATCTTGTCGTGTTTTCACACTTTTCAAATGCTAAGGTTTGTGCATAGACAAGACTTTAAATCAAAATGACAGGAGCCCCTGTATCCTGCAGTGCACACATGTGTGTGGCTCCTGCAAGACACGATGAAATGAACACTCTTACCATTAAGATTTAAAAATATTTTTTACTCTCTCTCTCTCTCTCTCTCTCTCTCTCTCTCTCTCTCTCTCTCTCTCTCTCTCTCTCTCTCTCTCTCTCTCTCTCTCTCTCTGTGTGTGTGTGTGTGTGTGTGTGCCATGATTTATGTGTGCAAATCAGAAGACAACAAGCACAAGTCAGTTATTTTTCCTTTCTACCACGTGGGTCCAGGGACAAAGCTCAGGCCATCAAGATTGCTGGCAAGCACTTTTCCTCACTGAAGCATCTCACCTGACCACAGGATTTCCTAAATGACATGCTTAGACACTCAAACCCTTGGATCAACATCTACACCAAAGAATAGAAAGGTTACATGGTATTGGCACAGACCAGTCACCTCTCCCATCATGACTCACACAAATCCTCAAGCAGAGTACAGGATTACAAAACCTGAATTTTGTCTTTCTCTTCCCACTGTACCCTGTTCCAGCACTTTCCTGGCCTGGTGGTGGAAGGCTCCCTAGCATATAATCCAAGAGGTCACTCTTTGAGGCACATTACCTACAGTCAATGAGCCCCAGGAGAGAAGGCTCTAACTCACTCATCCTCCCTAGAGCACCCTCCCCGTCCCTCAGTCCCTCAGCACAAAGCCCACCCACAATCCTGCACTATTTCCCCCTAAGTTACCTAGCCCCATCTAACTTACCCTCTTCCCAGTTTATTCGTATACTCCCCATGTAAACTCTAGGAGGGCTGGGATTTCTGGCTGGCCTGCCTATGGCTGAATTCCTGGGGAGGGAGGAATAAGAGCTATTCCTGGCGGCCCTAGAGTGCACGTCAACAGAGTAGTGTATGTGTCTGGGTATTTCCATTCTACCCCTTCCTCTCTACCACAAAGGTATTTGCTCTTTCAAAGGTAGCCACGGGACTCTTTCAAAACCTGAAGAGAGTATTGCACATCGTGAAGAGGGCCAGTTCTGCTGTCGGTTTCTTAGGAGGTGGGGAGATTTTATCCTCAAAGAATTAAATCTATCACATACTGAGGACTTGAGAGAAATGATTTTTAGCATTGCTCTTCACATCCTCCTGTATACAGCCTGTCAATACGAGCATCTCTTAAAGGCCAGTGTT